TCGCCTTCCGCGTGCCCGTCATCAGAATGGGTTTTTCAGCAGTGGCGGCAATGTGCGCCTTGAAGCTGCCGTGGTACTCTCCGTCCGCCAGGTGAATCGTGTCGCCTGGCTTGACGTGGCTCAGTGCATTCGTCAGGTCATGGGCGTTGTGCACCTGAATGGTGGCGGCCAAAGCCAGAGACAGGCAAGAAGATGCCAGCAGGAAAATTGAAAACATTTTGCTTGTGTTGCTGTTGTTGATTGCAGACTGATTGAAAGACAGGACTCTTGCTATTTTATAGCAAATGGGCAGATAAGTCTAAAGTGCTCTGATTGGACTTTGCAGCACGTTCCCTGACCTGAATCTAATCATCCTTTTTTGATGCAACAACACGGCTAATCCGGTATACAAAAGTTAAAAGTGCTGGTTTTCAAATGTATATTTTTTGTTTTAAAATGATGAAAATAAAGACAATTGGAAAAATGTAAAGGCTAAGGTTAAGAGTGAGATGAGAATAAATGAGAAAACTGTACAAGAACAACCAAAAAAGTACAAAATGATTTAAGCCAATGAATTTGAAAAAGGAGACACTAGGTGGTACAATCAATTGTCATGGCTGGTGGACGTGTTGGCAATCAAAGATTGTTAAAGAGGTTTTTTTGGCGACGAGTTGACGTGAATAATCTTGATTGCACGAGAGAGGAGATGATGAACCATGTAAAAGTGAAAAGTGGATTGTTGTGTGTGTATAAAAGTGGAAAATGGCCTGCCAGAAATGCCTCTAATTGATCGGATGAGGATGCAAGTTTCGTCACAAGAACAACACGGAGAAAGAAGAAAGAGGTATCACCGAGGAATAAACCGAGTGCTTAGAAAGAGAATATATCAAAAAATTTTATCAAATGTAACGGCTGCCGCAGTGCTGTGTGACCAAAATGGTTGTTGACCGATAAAAAGTGAAAAGTTCAAATGAAAAAACCTATCCCCCCCCTCTAGACCTCTTTCGGACGGTGGTGGTCAGACAGAATGTTGAGCTTCTCCTTGCTGCCCGACAGTGTGGTGGTGCTCGAGCAGCTGCTAATGTTGCCCTGATCATCCTTCGCAATCAGGGGAATCTTGTGCGATGAGCCCATTTTAGTGGTGTCAGTCAGCGAGGGAGCTGCGCTCTTTGAGTCTCCGACGACGTTGACTGCGTGGAAGCACGTTTCGTGCGGAATGAGATCAGAATCGCTGCTGCTTCCGCCGCCGCCAGACTTGCGCTTGTTGTGCTTTCGACCGTTGCGCGGCGTCCCTCCGCCGCCGCCCTCGGCACCACCACAGCCACCACCATCGTCCAGCTCGACGCTGCTCGGCGACTTGCGATTCTTGTCCTGCTGTGGCCCACAGCAGGTATTCTGCAGACAGCCATTGCCGACGCCGGGCTGGCCTGGCGGACAGTCGAGCGCACAGTTGTCCATTGGGCGGTTGAGCTTGCCGACGGGCAGCTCAGCCTCAAACTCGACAAACTCTGGTTGAATGGTCGTCGAGTGGATGCCCTCATTGTGAAAGAACTCCTTCACCTGTTCGGCAATCTGCATGTAGTCGTGCAGGTTGCGACAGCGAATGTGCGCCGAGGCGATGATGCGGTCGCCCGCCAGTTGCCACACGTGAAACTCGTGAACGGCGAGGACGCCGTCAATGTTTTCCAGTAGCTTTCGCTGGAGTGAGTCGATTTGAATGTGAGTCGGGACGGTCTGCAGGAGAATCATGGCAGAGTCCATGACTGTGGGGTGAAACAGTGTAACAGTTAGCTGTGCTGTCAAAAGGTACACACACACACACACAACACTTACGTAAGGGTAAAGTGGTGTGGGTAATAATGACGACCATGATGACTGAAAGGGCAGGGTCAACATAGACGTTGTACTTCCAGTCGGTGTACGTCACCACCAAGGCACTGATTATCACAATGACAGAGCCCAGCGCATCGGCGAGCACGTGGAGAAAGACGCCTTGCATGTTCATGTTTTTGCTACTCGGCTTCTGTGGCACAGTGCCATTTCCATGCGACTGGCTATGGGAGACGCCCTCGTGCGTCTGCAGTTGAGCGCCATTNAATGACAGAGCCCAGCGCATCGGCGAGCACGTGGAGAAAGACGCCCTGCATGTTCATGTTTTTGCTGCTTTGCTTCTGTGGCACGGTGCCATTTCCATGCGACTGGCTGTGGGAGACGCCCTCGTGCGTCTGCAGTTGAGCGCCATTGCCATTGCCGACGAGGGCATTCTTGGTTTCGTTTGGTTCAATGACCACTACCTCCTCTATAGGCAACTGCATGTGATGCCCGCCGCCGTGGCCGTGCCCGGAGTGTTCTGTTAAAGGAAAAGAACAGTTAGTTGACTGCCGGGTTAAAAACCGAGCTGCTGTACCGTGAAAGAGAAAGAGGCCGATGATGTTGACAATGAGCCCGACGACTCCGACCCAAAAGACGAGAATAGGATTGTGCAGTTTCTCCGGGTCGGCGAACCGCTTGAAAGACTCGATGAGAATGGAGAAGCAGAGGGCCACGAGAAAGACGGCGTTGATCAGGGCGCCCAACACCTCGGCCCGAGCCCAGCCAAAGGTGTTTTTGGACCACTTTTTCGGCGACATCTGAAATTCGATACAAGTTGTTAGTAAACAACACGGTTCAACAGGAAACGGGACAAACTTACCCTGACTGAGACGTAGGCAATGACTAGAGCCACCACATCGGAGAGCATGTGAAAGGAGTCGGCAATGAGAGCGGTAGAGTTGGACCAGTAGCCGACAAAGATTTCCACGCAAAAGAAGAAGAAGGTGAGGCATAGCATCGACAAGAGTCGGCACTTGGCGTTGCACAGGAGGCCCATCTTGGCGGTAAATGATGTGCGGCAGGTGTGTTGATTGATGAAAAGGATGATTTTCAAGCTAAAAACTCACTTGATGTCTGTAAATTGCATAGAAAAAGAACATGTAAGTCATGTTATTTAGTTGAAAACAGTGATGATGCTCGCACAGTTGAAATCGTCTGTTTTGGTGTGAGCCAACTTTTTTCACTGGCGCGCACGAGTTGGCGCAAATGAGGAGGTGAAGCACCGTTAAAGTAGCAACAAAAGTGGCAGTGAACGCACATGCTAGTAGTACAGCTGAGCAAGATGAGATAAAACGAAAGTTGAATAATTTAAATGACTCATTTGTTTCCGGGAGACTTGAAATGAATAAAGTGTCCTGGCAACATGCTAAAACTGATTTGCCAATATTTCTCAATCAGCGAGTTGTTGAAGTCAAAGATGTGATTTGACAAAAACTAGCAATTGTAAAAAAGTTGTAGCCAAGACATTCACAGTCACTTCTCACGGAGGGGAGTCAATCTAATCTGCTCACCAGTGATTACTGGTGGCGGTGCCAAATCAAATCAACGCACTGATGTCATGAGGCGTTGAGAACCGCCGATCAGGCCGCCGGCCACGGCAAAGCAACGGTGTGTGCTCGTGAACGGTGCTGGCTACTGGAAAACACAAAAATTGAGCCTCATCGCAAAAATGTGCCTGTGTCGGTCTCTGCCTGTTTGTCATTGTAGAGACAGAGACAGGCTAAAGCCTTCAGCACACCACTACTGACTGGTGCATTTTCACTTACCACCTCTGTCGCTGTCGTTTTC